GCTGTTTAATTGCTAATATTCCATAGGTTTATATTCAAGCGCGCACATATGCAACTTTATGATCATATACAAATAAGCAATAAAACAGTTTGTAATTTTTAGTTATCGCACTCGATTTGAAAATGACGTAGTAGTTTAGTTGCTTAGATGTGTCCGAAACAATTTTACAATTAAGCAGTCTGTCTGAGATCTAAAGAATTACTGAGAAATAATATACAATGTGTTTTTATATTTCAAACATTATAATCCGACACGTTCATAGACTTTTTAAAATGATTTATTTGCAAGAATATTTAGAAACACATCCTACAAATTTAAGTGTACTCTAAATTTCGGAATAGTAGGTAATTGATAATAATTATAGTTGACAATCACTGATATGACATGAATGTCACATAAAACTTTCTACTGTTTTATAATACTACTTTAGAGAAATTATTGTTGACCTTGAAAACTACTTCAATGTATACTTCCTAACTTCCTACACATAAACTTTGAGACAACTTGTGGCCATTTTTTCAACTTTTTTTTTTTGATTTTTTTATATCAATAAAATAAATTGATAGAAAATAAATATATCAATAAAACATCGCTATTATTGTCAGGTGTAACAAACAATTCATTGTGAGAAATAATAATTATTAGCATATCGTGAGATGAACTAAAGAAATTTTTGAAATATTGAATGGGGATTTTAAAGAAAAAAAAATTTTTTTTTGTTTGGTATTATCTGAGATTTTTGAAAAGAGAAAAAAAAAAACGCTTACATTTTTTATTATACTTTTGGAGTTCTTTAAGGTTTTTTTTGCTTTGCTTTGCTTTTAAATTTTTTTTCTGAATTTTGAATGAATAAATAATATTGATTGTATGCTTTTGGTCGAGACCTAATAATATTACACGTACGAGGAAAGAACAAAAATAAATTATAAAATTTTTGTTTGTAATTGACAAATAAAAATTTTTTTTTTAAACAATATTGTAAAAAGGTGTTTAAGAGTCAATATAATTAAGCTTTAATTTCACTTTGAATTTGAAAATTTATTCAACGATCTTGAAAATTTTATAATTTAATATTTTTTTCGTATAGCATTAGTCTTGCTGGCTTTCAGAATAAACATGGGTGTTTTGGATTCAAAATGCTGTTTAAAATTATTCAATATAGATATTATGAAGAAACTTGCAATTTATGAGAGCAAAATAACTGGTTGGCAAAAAATTTCCGGAAAAAAATGGGTGGTTGCAGATAATTTTAGCCAAAAACCATATATGTAGGATAAAGCTGGGCCGTTATTATGTAATTCGATTTTCGTGAAACGATAATTGTATTCCTAAACTCTTTTTGGGTATTCGAATATGCATTTTTCTTACTATGTACTTCTACTTTCGTGTAATTTTTAACATTTTTTATTCGAGGGCTTTTTTATAAATAATGGGTTGAAAGTTTTTTTATGCCATGAATTTTAATATCAGAAGTAAAGAAGCAACGAAATCCTCCCTATAATAATGGTGGAATTTCTAAACAACTACAAGGAACTTGCCGGAGGGTACCATCGAATTATTTGAATGAGTTTCATCTATGGCAGCTATGAAATTTTCCTTTTTGATAAGAATATTGTTTTGCTTCTCTTTGTTCAGCTTCTGAAATTTTTAGTTTTATTTATATTGGGCATATTTTTTCTTCTAAAGCAGTGCACGCTTCTGTGATAACATTGGGCATCGTTTGTTGTGCAAATGCTATGTTTATATCTTGCCCGAATCAATGTTGGGATCCTCCTTCTGCCAGAAATCTTAGTGTTCTCACTAATTTTATAATTTCCGCTACGGAAGTCGACCGTCTTGATGTCTTTAACTGGCTTTTGATAGAATTCAAAACGTATGCGAATTATTTGTTTTGCCCCTTAGTACCTTCCATTGAATGGCGTTGTAAAACTGGTTTTCCTCCTCCTCGGTATGACAATTTTTAACATCAAAATTCACTGATACCCAGCGCTACCTGTAGTCATCAATTATATGAATTTTGTATTTCAAAGTGTAAGCTTTAAGGTTAAAAAAATCATCATATCGGTATTTGTTTTTCCCCAATAGAAATAATTCATGAATTTTAATACTGACTTTATAAATCTATAATAATTTGCTATGCATAGGTAATAAAAAAAAGTTCAAATTTTAAGACCATTTTCATAACATTTGAAGTTTAAAATCAGTTTTATACTTATTATGCATGAAAACACAGAAAAACGCTGGCTCATGAATTTCTAATTTTAAAATAATAGAAAAATGTTACATACAAAGTATACTTAAAAAATTTTTAACTAAGATTTTGAATAGTATTTTTTAACACCTTTTCTTTCTTATATTTTATATGTGCCGATACATGACTAGCACGAATGGCTTAAGGTCATAGAAAGTTTTTTACTTTATTTATTTGAAAACTCGCGTCCACTTAAGTATTAAGTAATATTATTATTTTGCTGTTATACTTTACTTTAGCACTTACTCAATTGAATCTTTTTTTTTCACTTGTTGTAGTAGTTGTAGCAAAAAAAATCACTACACATCCCTTTTTCTCTATAGATTCTCAGTACAAAAAAAACTTCGTTTTATAAACCAGGTAAAAATTTTTTTTGTTTTGTTTTAGTATGGGTATAATTTGAAGTTTTATTTTAAATTAGTGTTTCGTTTCGAATGAACGAATAACAAATTTATAGAGCTAAAGACTAGTGTTTTGTTTCAAATCTTCTGATCCATTGCTTTAAATTTACTGATCTTTATACGTAACGTAGCATGATTTGTTGCTCATTTGCTGTCAAATTCTGCTCATAATGTGAAATAATTATAAGACGCCCTTTTAAATCGTTGTCGATATACGGAATTATTTCTTAAATTTTGTAATTCTATGTTTATATATTGAGCGTATTGTGTAATTGAATCTGAAGTTTCTAAGCAAACAACAGCTATCAAACTTGTCAGTTACTTGTTTTATTACTTAAACTTGTATAATTAGGGGCTCAATTGTTGCAATTTTTTAGTTTTGCAGCTATTTGATTGCATTTTTGTATTCCATAGGTTTATTTTCAAAGGTGTATACATGCAACTGTTAGTTTAGTTGATGAGATGTACGTGCAACGATTTTAAAATCAAGTGGTAATTACAAAACTAACAATTGCACGTCGGCCTGACCCCTAAAGGTAGCAATGTTAATCAAAATTTTTCTTGACTTCAGTTTTTTATAAACCTACTAGCTATTCGTATTAGTTTTAATACCTTATGGTTTACGAGAACTGGTCATTTATAACAATTTTTTTTAACTTATTTTTAACAATTAATTTTTTTCTTTTCTTATTTTGTTTTTGTTTTCGTGTATATCAATAAATTATTTTTAACTTCTTTTATAGTTGAAATAAAAATATAACAAACGTACATGAGACAAAATAATTATAATTTTTTTTCTTTTTTGAAAAGATTAAGTAGCTTTGATTCAATATGCCTGACAAATAAAAACCGCTCAAAGGCGGACGAATTTTATTTTGATTGTTGAACGCTACCAAAAAAAAGAGGCAAAAAAGTATTTTTAATTACAATTTTGTTTTAATTTTTAAATTTGTAATTGGAGGGATTGATTGAAATACAAAAAAAGAGGCACAATTTTAACTTCAATCGAATACTGCTTTTATTTGTTACTGTTTTTTTAACTGCTAATAAACTATTTACGAACAGTGATTGACTTGAGAAAGCCAATTATAAAAATAGAATCTTGAATGATTTTTTTTTTCTTGTTTAATCTTATTTAATACATGTATGTAGGTACATAGGTATGTAAGCTTGATTAATGATTTTTTTGCGTGAAATTGAATGGCAAATTCAAGAAAAATAATCCATGGATTTAATTTTAACTTGTGGCTCACTAAACAGATCCAAATAAATAGTTTTAAAAAAATCTTCGCAAATATTCTTTAAATATACCTTTGTTGCACTGAATTTGAAAATTTATAGTAGCGCTCAAGCTTATTCTCTTTTTTCACTGGTTTTGGGTAACAATAGTTTGTGATAGCTCAATAGCCGAGAAGAAACTACGCCCAAAAGTTGAACTTGTTTTGTCTTATGGACGATTCATAAAAACAAACTAAACAGTTACTTAAAGTCGGCTCACAGAAAATCCAAGTTTTATTGTGGTTAGTTAAATTTCCGGAGTAATGTTTTTAAAATTTTTGCAATAAATATCACTAACACTTAGTGACACACTACTATTTTGTATATTTCCCTTATTCTCAAATTGAGTTTCAATATATTTATATCAGATGCTATGCTCCCTGTAATAATTTTAACACATAGAACTTATTATTAAAGCTCCCCCTAAAATTTTCGAAGCAGTTTATTTATTGCTGAAAATTTTGCAAGATAAAGAAAGTACCCCGTATCAGTACATTTTAAGAGTGCTAACTTCTATTGTAGTTACAATTTTTTAAAAAGAGTTAATTAAATTTTATTTATACAAGCACATTGGAATAAAAATTATCTAGCGATAACAAAATTTGAATGATATTGCCTATGCATGAACCCAAAATATTTACAATTTTTGTATTTTTTTTTAAACCTACAAAATGACTATTAAAATTTAATCATCAACCCCCAATTATAATTTCTAAAGATTAGTTTCAAGTGCGAATTCTAGAAAAAGTCAAATTCATTATATATGTATGTAAAATGAACACCAACACGAGTAATATAGATAATGATTAAAAATTAATCTAAAGCTTTGAATTTGAACAAATCTTCGTACTTACTATAATAAATTAGTCTATTTTTGAAACTATTTTATAAAAAATCCTATTATGTCTGTCTATCAGTCAATATAACTTCAAAATTTTGTTGATAAGATAAACTTATAAATTTCACTTAATTGCTATACAAGGAACAATATTTTTTAAAAGAAAATTCACTATTTATGTATGTACTTTAGAAAAAAATTTTATATTACTGTATATTTATTTCGATTTTAGGTGTACTACCTTGGATTGAAGAATTAAGGAAAGAACATGGTCGTATGTTTGGTATATGGTTTGGTACACATTATACAGTTTTTTTAACTGATCCAGATTTAGTTCGACAACTTTTAAGTAATAATCATTTATTATATAAATCACATAATTATGAAATAACAAGACCCTGGCTTGGTAATGGTCTCCTAACAAATGGTGGTCCAACATGGCATCAAAGAAGAAAAATGTTAACACCAGCATTTCATTTTAAAATTTTAAGTTTATTTAAACAACCAATGGAAGATAATTGTGATATATTAATTAGAAAATTAAATGAAAAAGCAATAACTGGAGAAGAATTTGATGTTTATCCATATATAACACTATTTGCAATGGATGTAATATGTGAGACAGCAATGGGAATAAAAAAACATGCACAAATGAATTCTGATTCAGAATATGTTAAAGCTGTTCAGATGTAAGTAAAAATAATGGAATATTTCAATAAACCCTAACCTCAATTGTGCAGATATTTTTGCAATGTTATAAAGTCTGGAGTAAATCTTATATGCAGAAAAATCTGCAAAACATCTGCAAGGTTCAATACAGTTTGAAGTTTTCTTTCGAAAATAAAAAAAATTGTCAATACTTAATTTTTAAATTGTTACAACTATATAACAGTATTGGTACAGTGTTATATCTATACTATACAAAGTAGTACTGGAATCAGAGGCATGTACGCAGCTGCATTATTGAAGTCGCACGTTGCTGTTATTGTATATGCGACCTCTGCAAAATTCACTGTTATAATATTTTGCTAAAATATATGAAAATGTTTAATTTTTTTATGTACATAAGTGCAAACTCTAAAAATCGTACCTGAAATTACATTCAGCAAATATTATTAATATTAAGGCAAAAATTAGAAAATAAAATGTAAAATAGAAATGTTAATAAAATTGAGTACTGTAATACAGTGACACAATATTCCCTATTGTTCCTTCATGGAGCTGAGCTTATACTTATAAAATAATAAAACTTAAATGAACTTATACGTATATACACAATTTAATAGTGTAATTATTTTATAAAATTTTATAGGGTGTGTCGTGCACTACATAAACAATCATTCAGTTTTTGGTATCGGTTTTCATTTATATTTAATCGGAGCGAAGTACGCCAAGAGCGCGATAAAGCTTTAGAAATTTTACATAAAGAAACACGTCAAACAATTGCTGTTCGTAGAAAACTCTTAGAAAAAGAACATATATTAAATGGAACCAATGGAACAGTACCAAACGGAAATTCGACAGAAGGTAAGAATTTTGTTTTCCTTTAATCGCGGCCAAATTTCGAATAACCAGCCTATAATTTAATTTTTTAATTTTCAATTAAAAAATTGCAAAAAAAAAAACTATTATAATTTTATTTACAGATACCTTAGGAGTTAAAAGGCGTATGGCATTTTTAGATATGCTTTTAATATCACAAAAAGAAGGAATGCCAATTAATGATGAAGAAATTCGTGAAGAAGTTGATACATTCATGTTTGAGGGCCATGATACAACTAGTTCAGCAATTGCTTTTACATTATATTTATTATCATTACATTCTGATGTACAACAGAAAGTTTATGAAGAAATTCAAAATTTCGAGGGACGAGAAAATGAAACAATGAAATATCTTGAAGCTGTTCTTAAAGAATCAATGCGTTTATATCCACCTGTACCATTTTTCAGTAGAATAGTACATGATAAATTTATTTTAGATAATATTATTGAAATTCCAAAAGGTGTTACTGTTAGTAGTAATGCATTTTTAGTACATCGTAATCCAAAATATTTCCCAGATCCATATAAATTTGATCCGGAACGATTTTTAAATACAGAAAAAGAAATGCATCCATATGCTTTTGTGGCATTTAGTGCTGGTCCTAGAAATTGTATTGGTATGTAAAAACTTGTATATAAGATTTTTCTTATTTAATATTTTTATTTTTAATTTATTTACGTTTCTTATCATCTTGATTTCTATTTTTGTGCTGTCTCATGCCAGCTTTATTAAATTAAATTGAGACTATGTGATAACAATGTGAAAAAATTTGTGTTGATTTAAGTACTAAAATTAGAACAAGTGTACACATTTTATGTACGCCAATAAAATTAAATGATTTGTGTACAGAGAGAAGAAAAATGTTCTTACTAAGTGATTAGAACAAAGTCTAATAGTATAACAAATTATAAAAGAAGGCATTGCGATAAATAATAGAGCATTTGAAGCAAGAGAGGAGAGGAGTAGAGCAAATAACATTAAATTATATTGTTCTTTGTTGTTTTTTTTTTTTTTTTGTTAAATAATGAGAGCAAAATGATATTTAGAATTTACTATTAAAGCATGACTTGGCAAAATTATAGATAGTGTTTACAAAATATCTGAAAAATTTTAATTTTATTTAATAAATAATTGTTTTAATTGTTCAAATTGTTATTTCACGCAAACTTTGAATTTTTCCTATTTTCAAAATATTTATAGATAATCTAATTTTGTCAATAATATTAAATTTGAATCCTCAAGGTCAAGGTACATTAATATTATAATTAACTAAATATGATTTATGGGGAGATGTTTGACGTACAACTGATTTTATTCAAATTAGGTTCAAACGAGGAGTGTTTTTTAAAAAATATCATCATTCATTATTATGTTAAATCTAAATATTTACTAATTTGAGCTCGTGGATTAACAATTTGTAATTCAAAACCATAACACTGTTATTATTACATAACACTGACAAGTAGTAAGTAAATACTTCCTAAATAAATCTGGTAATTATTATTGGCTGTTCTAATTTGTTAAACTTATAAAATTAATTTTGAAAAACAAAACTCTTTATTATTGAATCACTTAAGTAATATCGGAATTTTCGGGCAACCAAATTTTAAAGAAAGAAATTTTGAGTCTAATACATAATATAATGATCCAAATTAGTTGATTAATCATATGGATATTTTGATGAATAATAGCAATTCTGATTAGATTTAAATCAACAATGTTGTATTTTGTGCCGATAATGTGCACTTAATGAAAATTTTCTCTTATTACTGTTGTAGTCCACTGTCTTTAAATTCCTACTGTACTATTGCCAGTCACGAAAATCAATTCGAATTTATTTCAAGTAACTTTCCCGGTATGTAAAATAATTTTTAATTTTACTTTTAATTTATATTTCGCAAATCATCTGTAACCGCAAATATTCACATTTAGTCACATACAGTGCTATGTTTAAGTCGAATTGCGGCTAAAAACCGAAATATTATAGAATGTTAATTCTATATACAATTGCTCAAATCAGAAATTCAGTAAAATTTGGTTCATTTCAGGCAATGCCCTTAAACGCCCCTCAAAAATTTTTCCAAATTGTTCCTTTTTGGAAAATTTATTTGTAATAAAATGACAATAAAAGCGCTGGTAAAGTTAGAAAGATTCAAATTTTTCACAAAAAATAATTCTTAAATTTTATTAGGAACAAGAGATCAAAACTCTTGAATTGGGCAATTTTACTTGACTGTCCAGAATTATTGAAAATTAATTCATTAATACACAATATTAAAAATTTTTTTAACATTATATTTTACAATAATTTTAATTTTATTTTAATTATATTTTTTTATTTTTAGGTCAAAAATTTGCCATGTTAGAATTGAAATGTACGATATCAAAACTTGTACGAGAATTTGAAATTTTACCAGCAAAAGACTCAAAACCAATATTATTGGCTGAATTAATAATGAAAAGTGATAATGGAATTAGAATTAGATTAAAAAAGAGATAAATTTTAGAATTTTAAAATTTAAAAAAAAAATCTTTTCCTTATATTAAAAATTTAATAATAAGCAAGGAAATTGAAATATTTTTATAATAATTTTTAAATATTAAAATAAATATTTTATGAATATTTTATATACTATTTCTTTATTTGAATCAAAATATTATAAATTTATATTGTTTTTAAATATTGTTATTATTAAATATTTTTTGTTATTTTGGTGAAAAATCAATTTAAATTTTTATATATTAGAGATAATTATTAAGAATTGTACTAGCTATATTTTAAATAGTGATCGCTATTAAAATTCAAGAATTTACGATTACTAGATTAATTGTAATTTTAGTTAATCAATTTAAAGTTTATCGAATATATTAAATTCGATATACAAGCCTGTTACAATAAACATATTCTTTAGCCGATTTAATTTTCATAAATGTAGTAGTTTAGCTCAACTAAGGTCTATTCTAAAAGATTTCAATTACAAAATTTATTAAAATTTTGCTTTAATTCTTGTGTAATTATTATACGATATATTAATGTAGAGTAGTTTATAATATATAAACCAAATATATGGAATTTAATAATATTAAATATATACTTTAATTAATGTTTCTGTTCTTGCCCTCAACTCATTATTTCCAATTCAATTAAATTTTCACGTGTATGTGTCATATATATATAAATAATTATACATTTGTATAATTTTCTTTTGCTACAAACAAATTAATATTTCTGAAACATTTTATATAATTTATTTTAAATTTTATTAAAATTTTATATTTGATATATTTTTTTTTTAAATATTAAAAAGCAATTATAAATGTAAAATTACAATATTAAATCTTTGATACAATTTCATTTTTTGTATTTTGTAAATGAAAATATTATTAATGTATAATTGAATTTGAATATTTTATAAAGTAAATCTTTAGCATGGATTTATTATGAAGGGCCGCCCGCAATAAACCTCTTCCTTTTTTTTTTGTAAATTTGTTTTATATAATATAGTTATTAATATTATTATATTATTATATTATGTATAAAGAGAAATAATTTTTTGATTCATATTTATTGTAAAAAATATTGACTATTTTTAAGTATAATTAAAATAATGTGAATGCTTTTTTTTTGTATTTTATAAAAGAGAAAAAGAATTTATGATTTATATTACAATAAAGTAAAATTACTCATAATTTTTGTTTGAAAACAAAAACGTCCTTCCTTCCTTATAAGTTTTGCAAGGTAATTAAAAAAATTTTAATAATATGAAAATTATAAAAGAATTTTTTAAACTAGCTTTTAAATAAATTCAATATAAACTCGACTTTTGATTAAAATGTAGAATAAGCGGATGTGAAGAGTTATCAACATAAACGTCATAAACCCCCTATAATTAATCACAATGACTTACGACAAGTTTTTCTCTATCTACTGTTTTTTATTTAAATTTCAAAAAGGAAGGTGCCCACCAATTGAAAATTCAAAAAAAAACTATTTTAATATTAAACAAAAAATTAATTTATTTTGTGGCTCCATTTTTAAACTATGTGTTAGTATTAACAGTTACTTTGATTCTGAGCATTGCTTTGGGTTATAAATTACCATCAATAAAATATAGTTCGACAGTTTGCTTATGTACGAATTTCTTGCCTTACATTTCCATGCTGTATAAGCCACCTGTTTGCCATATAAAACATCAATGCCAATGAAACATAAAACTTAAAATTTAAGATTCAAGTTTTGCTTAAAAGTAAACATGAATGATAATTTATTTTGTAATATCATTAATTTTTTATTGTCCTCTCGTGTAGTTATTTTAATAAGACGATCAGGAGGGCAAATTTCCAATGATTTATGTTATTGGCTGTGTATCTAGCTTATTATCTAATTAAACACAGTATAGTAATCACTCCGGCAAATCATTTAGTTGTCGATTTCTTGCTTTAGCATTTCTTATTGCTAATCATATTATGGCAAAAAATACATGATAATTTTTAAACGTTTACTCACTTTTAAATTTAATAACTACGTTTTAGTAAAAATCGCGACTAATTTCGAATTTTTTAAAAATATTAACAAAATTTAGCAAAGACAATTTTATGAATTAATTCTATGGTATCGTAATATCGTAAAATCTTATTTTGTATACCGCCCGAATTTATGCAAAATTAATTTCAAAGTTAATAAAATAAAGTTTATTTTGGAATCGCTGCTACAAAAATACCTCAGCTGATAATATTATAATACGTTTGCATTAAAAAATAAATTTTAAAATTTTTCTAATTAGAAAATTTTTAATTGTGTTTACCGTAAATATTGTGTGAATAAATTCTAATCAAATCAAGGTCTAGATTTTTTAAAAATTTTATATTCATTCAGATTGCCTTTAGAATAAAATTTTAGTTTTAGGGCTGTATATTAAAAATTCACAAGTAAATTGAATTTAAAGAGTTTAAGAGCTAAATTTAAATGCCGGCTAGGTATAACAGTTACAACAATATAATATTATAATATGTATTATTAATGTTTCGAAAAAAAAAGTTGTTTTAGTGCTACTTAACCTTCAATTCCACGAGATTGTACCCCAAATACAATTAAAAATTTCGGGTCACACTTTCATAGTGTATCAAAATAAATATATACTTAATAATACTTATAACACTTTTAAACCAACAAATTTTTCTTACTTGTATAAATTCAGAACGTTTCGTAAATCTACATAATATGTACATGTACAGAACAATGTATATTTCAGTAGAAAAGTGATAGTTATAGCTACTTTTTCTATTTTCGTATGTAGTACTAGATAGCGTTCGAATAATCTGCTAATGCAAGTTAATCTTCTCGTTATAATATTTATAAATAAACACACTAACAAAATTTTTGAACTTTATAAAACAAAAACTTGAATTTGTTTAAAATAGCAAAAAAAAAATAAAAATTTTTACGCGTTTGTTTTGTTTTCTAAATGATAAAATTTATTAGAAAAAATATTTTAACTTTTAATTTAAGTTGCAATTTTTTACAGGCACGAATAAATATGCACAGGTACGACAAAAAGTCTTGGCATTTTTGTAAGCAGCTGATTTAAAAAATGAAACTTTGGATATAGGGTGAGTTGCATTTCCAGTGGAACAAAAAAAAAATTTGTTCTTCAATGTGACTCGTGTGAGAATCACTTTTTTACAGCGAGAAATTGATAGAAGAACGGAATTATGGAATTAAAAAAATGCTTTCTGGAACTCGACACCATTATAAGATAAGTATATATTTTATACTTATATACAACATAGCTATACAACACTCCCCACAAGTAAAGCTGCCCATAGGTACGGGAACTAGCGCATATATTTCCATATTATGCTGAATACTCCAAAACAAAATATCAGAAGGAAACATACATAATATAAAATAAAAAACAACTTGTTCTCTCAGCATATTTTTTTCTTCTTTTCTGATTTGTAAGATTCGCACAATACTGTATTTTTTCAAGAGCCTAAGTGCGCTTGTTTATAACAAATTTTTTGTTATTAATTGGTAAAATGAAATCGTACGTGAGTATTAAAATTTTTTCTTATCTCTTTTAATCTTGTATTCTTGTCCTATTGTCAAATGTTTTGTTTTTGTTTTTCATAATTAAACTAATTCAATTGAGTTTCTAGTTCAATTTTTTTCAATTAGGAATTGATTTTTGTTACCGATAACTAAATAGAAGTTATTTTTTTCGTTAAAGCGGGCCCTAGCCATAATTTTGGCGAGGACTTGCTTCAACCTTGATCCGCCACTGAGTTTAGTAAAAAATAGACTTAGTATTTATTTAAAATATCACAAATTAACATAGCGGTTTCTTTAAATTGTTAAATACCAAGCACTTGAAAATTAAAATTACTCACTTAAAGATGAAAATTTCGCACTTAAAGGTGTTTATATGTATGCAGGTAAAATTTTGTCACATTTAAAAAATTTCTGTTTGCTACTTAAGTTTATTTAGTTTTTAAATGAATAAATTAATTATACTTACTTTTCAAATATTTTATGACATAATATTGCTTTATAAGTATATGTAAATTTATTGTTCATTATAATTACAGTAGAGTCTTTATATAACGCACTCCTATTACTGACTGATTAATATGTCAACTTCTTTTAACATATTAATAGGATTTGCAAAACTTTCTGATGGTTATAGAATTTCAAAAATTTTGTGATGAATAATAATTTTTTTTTCATACTTGGGAAATTTTAAATAATTCAATCGATTTCAATATCAAAAATTTAATTAAAGTTAAGCAATATTAACAATAACCGTAGAATATACACAAAAATGCAAACAAGTTAGTTATCTTAAGTAGGTACTTTAAAAATACACGCACTAATGTATAAAGATTACAAAAACGATGTCTCATATCTTGTCTGTTGTACAAGATTGTGAAGAACGATTATTTTAATAAAATTTTTTTATTAACCCTTATAAAAATATAAATGGTAGCTTCTTTTCTTGTATATATTTGAATTATTTACTTTACGATTGTTTATTTTATTTAAAAAAAGACAAAATATGATGAAAAACCCTAGCCATATTTCATTTTTATTGTTATAATTAAAATATTTTTTCAGTCAAAAGCCGGCTAATAACAAATACAACTGTCTTTTGTAATAGATGAACACAAAATTGTTCTGAAAACGTAATTAAATATAATTATGAAATAAAGTTCAAGATAACTAATTTATATACTAAATTAACCTACTCTAAACTGGTTACAGTATTATATTCTAGAATTTCATTTGAGTCGAACTAAAGTAAAAGAGACACCAGTTTTGCAAATAAAAAAATTAAAATTATTAATCACAATAATAGCAGTAATATTATTAATCGATTTTATTATCCAGGCTTAAATTACCCACACAACCTATTAAAAATTTTATTACGCGCCATAAAATAATCATTTGAGTTTATAAAGCTTATATATTATATGCCGGCAATTTATTTTAAAACACGTGAGGTAATTATATTAGTAGAACAGCAGGTTTGTAGAACATAATTATATTATTTCAATAGCCCTTAAACTTTATAAACTATAAGCAAACATTTTATATGAAATTTATTACTCGTAGTTGATTCACTTGATCTCTATTAGATAACATAATTCAATAGCTACACTAATAGAATTAAAGTTTATTTATCATTGACCATACGAGTATAAATTTTTATTTAAAGTTATTTACACTAACATACGAGTATAAAAGTTAATGCCTACTTTACCGGCTACTGTTAGCTTTACTCTTAAAAATTTTTTAGCTAAGAATTTGGTATTTTGTAACTGAGAATTTAAAGAGAGAAGAATCTATAATAGAGAAATAATAAAATAAATAATAAAATAAAAGAGAAAATTACTTTACTCTTGGAAAGGGTATATAGGGGAACAAAGTGAAAAAAATCAATGTCAGTAAAAAAAATTAAAATTCATCCCAAAGATCATAAATTTGATAGCATACCATAATCTATACTGATAAAATGATGTTAAAGGTGAACAATACAGAAATTTTACTACAACAGCGTAAATGTTACTCGATTTTTTCAGTCCTCTCAATTGGAATTACTTATTTGAATTAAAAATAAGGACATTTCTTTAGAGGGCAATTTTACACTCTCCTGTTGTAATATTAGTCTTATATGTGTAATTCGTATTGTACAATATAATTTATTTGTAGCAAATTTACTCAATTGTTTCACCTTTCACAGACTTTTTTTAATTACATTTGTTTAGAGTCACTATTGTAGTAATTATTTTACACGGAAATTTTTTACAGTAAACATGAATTGAAATTTAAAATTACCTTGAAGAACTTGTAAAAAACGATTCATAGCTTAATAATAATATATACAAATATCCTATATATTTATCCTTAAAATTACAATATAATTAAAATTAAATGATAATCTTAAAATTTTTCTTTTTCATCTTCACTTAATTGAATTCGACAAGTGCAAGTTCCTAAAAAAAAACAAAAAGAAATTGAAAAATTCAATGTGAGCAAGAGTTTTTAATTAAAATAAAAAATACGTGTTTACAATTACCTGAGGTACCCTCTTGCAATTCATTCTGTCCTTGAAATGCAGCCTTATTACATGTATCATAAGGTTTTTCAATAATATGTCCATTTCTTTCAACATCTCTACTGCCGTTAATAGCAATTGTTGGTATAATATTATTATGATTATTAATTTCTGTTAAATTATTATTAATTTTTGATTTTCTAAATCCACAAATATTAGAACGAATAATGGCGACTATAATAACAGCTAAACCTACTGCACTTCCAAAAAATACAGCTAACCACATAAGTACCGTTTCATAAGGATTACGATATATTATTTCCATTTTAGCATTTCTCATATAATCCATTGTAGTAGAACAAATAATTTGCATTGATGTCTGTAAACCATCCGATTCACTTGAATTCGAATTGATTGCAGTTAAACCAACGATAATATCCTGTTTTACTAAATCAATATCACATTTTGAAGTTTCATTGTCATATTTAATTGCATTGATAGCTTCACAAAATGATATTTTTAAATTTTTAATATTTTCATCTGATACTATTAATTGCGGTGATAAATTTTTTGGGATTGATACCAATTTACTTGTAAATATAGTTGTTGTTCCTGGCAATAATAGTCCATCTACATTACTGAGATTCATTTTTAAAATATTGTAATTTAAGAAAAATCCTTTTGAATTTTGATATTTGGAAAATTTTCTTGATGTACGAAATTCTATTTTAAGGCGATGATAGTTTCTAGCATAAAAATTTAAATTTTGTTCAAATGTTCCACTTAAAAGTAATGTACTAGAATTTTCGAATACTATATTTTGTTTATCATCGAAATATTCTAATGTTATATTGATATAATCTTTTTGATATCTTGTATCCAATAAATAGAAGACTAATTTCAAATCTAATGTTGGATCTAAAGATATTCTGAAATAAAAACATTATAAAATGTTAGAATGGTTTTTAAAATTGAAAGTATTCAAGATGGAAGCATTCTGTGGCAAATCAATTTTATTGTTAAAACACAAAATTAGATGGGTTATATGAAAAGTGTTACATAAATTGTAATTCGGGCCCGAGCATGTTAAAACTTAACAATAGCTGTATTGATAACGGAATTATCGATTTGTTATTTTTTCTTTATAATTAGGGGGACTGTGACGTATTTAATAGAGTAAAGTAGCGCGGTGGATGATGCAGGAGCGGAAAAATACCAATTTTGTTTTTCATAATTTTTTTTGGCAATAAATCATATTGATTAAAATTGAATGAAAACATTGCAACGTAGAAGATTTTATTAAACAATTCTTTAAATAAAATACTTAGGAAACCCTTTCGATTTTGAAATATTCGTACATTGAAATTAAAATAGCCACTGTTATCATACGGTGTTATCGACTGATATCAAAATGATAATTTATTGGGGTTTAATTTATCGCATAAGTATATGCAGTTAAGCAATACCGAGTGCATATAAATATTATACTTTAAAGACTTTAACAAAGTTATTCAACTAAAATTTCATATGCTAACAAAAAAAACAACAAAATTTTAGATGCATCTAACATTTTCTTAAAAATCTTTCTAGACTGGCCCTTGGAGTGCTTGTACAAAATATTATGAAAAGCAAATTTATAAAGATACCTATAGTTATGGTGAATACCATGAAGTCATGATGTGAGCCGCTCAAACTAAATTTCCGAGTTAGTTAAGGAAGTAATCCGATTCGAGTCTCGTTATTTATACAAAATTATTTGGACCTTATAAAAAAGAAGTTACAATATGATGAACAATTCTGAACAATAAAACACAAATTATATACTTCATAAATTTATTCAAAAAAACATCAAAATTGATGGTACTGTGAAATTTCTTCCAAAGAAATTAAGAATTTCAATGCGAGGTAAGTGAATAACGGATGGAGTAATTTCGGAATAGTGTAGTTGAATCATTCCCAAACTAAAATAATGTTTATTTCTTCCTACTTGTTTATGTGGGCTGTTCAATTGAAATGGAAATATGGAAAAAATGGATGGTTTTCACAATTTAGTTTTAAATTAATACTAAATTTTCAGCTAATTTCTACTATAACACAAACTGCGAGAAGTAAGTTAAGAACACAATATAAAATCAGCGGCACGTTTTGATGTACTGAAATTGAAAAATAGAACAACATTTGAAACCTGTTTTGAGAAGGTAAAAAAGTGAAAATAAAATTTTGTTTCTTCGATTTTGCACACTCCATTTTTAAATTTATTTTGTATTTGGAGAAAGACAATAAATTTACAGCATGATTTTCTAACTTCGAAAATTTTTGAATGTATATTTATAATGAGATAAAATTGTATAATATGTAATGAGACTTTTTCACGATCGAAACCCGAGTCTATATTGTGTAAAGGTGGATGTGGTTTATCATTTCATGTTAAATGTGTGGGTTTAGCAGCATATGATATCAATTTATTAAATACTAACAAGTATGTTGTATTAATGTGTAATGATTGTAAGGACAGAAATAATAAAATAAGAATAATTGAACTACATATTGCTGCAATAGAGGAGAGCATTGGTGAATTAAAACATGGTTTTGATAAGCAAAGAGAATCTTTTAATCAAATACTAAAGAGTAGTAATAATAATGAATGTTCTAATGAAATGATCGAACGAGTTAAGCAAGTATGCATTAATTCGCTTAAGCCTTCTTATGCAGAAATAACAAAAAAATGTTCGAATATTATAATTAAGCCAAAACAAAAACAAAATAATAAGCAAACCAAAGACGATATTAGGCAAAGTATTGATATTGTAGAAAATAATTTATCTGTGTCTAGTATTGAGAATGCGAAAAATGGAGCTGTAGTAGTTGCATGTGAAAACAATGAAACTGTGAGTAAATTAAAGTCTGTAACTGAAGAGAAATTGAAAGATGCATATGAAATAAAAATTGCCAGTGGTAGAAAACCTAGAATAAAAATTGTAGGCATAGCTGATGAGATAGAAGAGGAAGATTTAGTTAGAAAGTTGAAAATGCAAAATGAGGTGTTGAAAAATAGTGATATAAATATGAAAGCCTTATTTAAAAACAAGTATAAATTTAACCCATATGTTGCTATTGTAGAAATAGATATAGAATCTTATAATAAAGTAATGAATGTAGGCAAGGTTAAAGTGGGATGGGATGTATGTAAGATATTTGATGGTCTGTATATTAAGAGATGCTTTAAATGTTTGGGTTATGGACATGATATTTTGAAATGTACTTCTGTAAGAAAAATTTGTGGTAACTGTGCGGAGGAATATAGCATTGGGCATGAATGTAATAATAAAGAGAAAAAATGTTGCAATTGTGTGCGTGTGAATAGAGATATGAATATGAATTTAAATATTAATCACAGTGCCTTTGATTTTAACTGCAATGTATATAAAAAAAAGGTTGAAATAGAAAGGAAAAAAATATTCTAGCAATTAATAGATGATAATATAATTTTCAGCTTTAACCTTATACTGCGATAACTTTTTTCTACAAATATTATTGCAGTTTTGCAGTCATATCAACTGACACGATGTGACTGTCAGCTATTTGCAGTTTTGGCCGACATATTTTATTTCGGACTAGGGTTATTAATTAAATTCTTAATAATCAAATTCAAATTACAATTTGCATCATTAAAAACACTCGGATATTATTAATTTATTACTTACGTATAATTTTCAAAGCTAGGCAACGAATATGGTTTCGGGTATCCAGGTGATAAAATATTTCCATTAAATTTTCCAATATTCATTTGAATTTCATTTGAACTATTATGATTTTCTAAATTAACATCATTTTGTTTTTGATAATCGCCATCGTTAATATTTAGATTTTCATTTTCGGATATTCCAAATTCATTATTAATTTTTAATAATGATCTTTTTCTAATATTTCGTAAATTTTTATATAATTCAATATTTTCATCATTTTCACTAATTAATTTTTTTAAATTTTGAAAATTTTCTTCAAAATTTTCATTAATATTATTCTTTTGTGCACTTGATTGAATTGAACCTAATTTTAATATAAAATTAAAAGAGAAAAATAAATAAAATTAAATTCAGTGATTTTCTTGTAACTTGACAAACAAGTACACAGAATCACACTTACAAAAGACACCAGCTGCTATCGCAATTATCCACAATTGTATTAAATTCATTGAAATCTATTTTAACACAATTACAACACTATACAGAAAAAAAAGAAAAATAAAAAAAAAAAAAAATAAAAAACAAAAAATTCACATTAAAACTTCCGAATTTATTCAACAGTGGCACGACTCATTCGTCACTTTAGTCTGAATCCAAAAATTATTATGATTTTTTATTCAATGTTGTTCTTTGGCATGAATTTAATTTTTTTTTATTTTATATCTTAAGGTGTTTACAAAGTAAATAAAAAAAAAAAGGTAAAAGAATAAAGAAAAAATCTAGTTAACCAGTAAATCCAGTCAACTTAATTTGCAATCAAAACACAATTATAGAAGAGAGTGTTCAAATAATAATTAGATCTACTTCTATAATAATAAATTACTTTTACTGATAACAAACTGTTTGATAAGATATATTTGAATACATACATACACACATACATGTATTATAATAATAATGTACACATTGATAAGATTATCTATATTATGTAGATACGTTTATAAATCAATTCTGTTATTTTTATTGCAGTTCACATTTTAATTATGAATATTGAAAATCTTTGTTTTTTTTCACATCAAAATTCATTCACAGTAATTTGTATACCTATATGTATGTACTTAATAAAATTTAGAAAGAAGGCGGCGCCCGTTGTGTGAAATTAGAAATTTTTCGCTATGTATGATTAAAAAAATTTAAATAACAAATAGCGCAAGCGATTTAAGGAATATCAATAATAATTTTTTGATTAATAAAAATATTGTAATATTATTTAAAAACGAGAAAAAATAGAGTTGACCGTATCAACTCTATGATACCCGTACTAATTTGTTATCCTATGTGCAAATAAAAATGTCATAGCTGACTATGGGACAAACTAAAACTTCAAGTTGTCGTATTAATTTATGCAAAATTTCAGTACTGGATTTTCTAAAATATGGCCAAACTACTATTGAAGTTGTATGGCAGCTACCAGAAGGAGCCAAGCAATTTCAACGAATTTTATCAAACACATTGGCCCTACTAATATATTCGTTTGTGTGAAATTTCATTGTCACAGCTTTTATAGTTTCTGAGATATGGCCAAATAAATTTTGAAGTTGTATGGCAGCTACCGATCCAATATCTCGATCATATCCGATTAAGATAGGGTTGTGGCATTTATTATCATAATAAATTATTTGTGAAAATCTTAGCGCAATTAGTTTTTGAGTTATCGTTGGGACAGGCGGACAACCAAAGCTAAATTGACTCAGAATTCGACGCTGGTCAAAAACATATACTTGAGACAATATCTCAGACCATTATTTCTTAGCGTTACAAACGATAAGGCAAATTTAGTATTCCCTTCGAATATACGCTCATACGGGAAAAATTCTTATTATCCGTTTACGTAATAAACGTATTTAAAATGAAGATTATAATGTTTTTGTTGACCGCAAAGGTCATTTCAATTATAAAGGTATCTTAAGTGTTTTAATTAATTATTATGTGTTAAGATGTTGTGATTTTTGGTAGAATTTAAAAAAAAATAGTGTTATTCAAACCTTCATATTTTATGGGTTGACTAGACTGACAAATTTCCTAATTAACAATGTAACTATGTTGAACTTTTAGTTGTATTACTTTATGTCCAAACAATTAAAATGATCATTGAATTGAAAATTTTCTTATTATATTAGAATTTTGCATATATTTAGGATGAAAAGGTTAAAACAATTAATTTCGTAAAAATTAAAATTAAAATTTTACTTTACATAATGACTAAACTAGATTGCTATAATATTGACACTTTTACAGACTGTATGGAAAATGTTCCATATGTACTTCCAAGTAAAAAATTAAAGAGAACTAAAGTGAAATTTTTCTATTTAAAATGAGGTAGGAGCGTCCAAAATTATTACTTTAAATATTTTTGATTTTAAGTTTTCATTTAGATTATTTTGATGAGGATGATGGACCCGTTTGATATTTGAAATTCAAACTTGGTAAGTACAAAAATATTAAATATATTTAATGACCGCATGCATTCACACGGTAAGGATGGTTATATTGTCTTTTTTTTATGGGTCGATTTTACATTTTTGATCATTTTTAAGAAATTTTAGAACACATAAGCTAAAAATTTTATACATTATCTTCGTCTGTACGAGTAAGAGAAACCACCTTAACTTTTCGAAGAAATCGTTTGTCACAACTGAACTTTTGCGTATACAAGGAGAAATAACGTTGAAGTTTGATATCTAAATTCAGAATGTTAACGCTTAGAAACCGAGTCGGGGACAAAATTAAAAAAATAATTGACGGAATTTCTATAAATTGAATATTTCAGTACAATTCAGAACAAATTGACGAGCTTTGCAAGGAGTTCGGATGATATAAAGTGAGCTTCCTGTATTCCTCAAAATTACATTTTGTCTAGGTATATTAATTAAAAGTTTACTACCGTCCTTAAATTTGGAAATAAGTTTTTTAAGGACATTTTCACAAACATTTTCGCTAAACTAGACAATACACACTTCTCGCTCGGTGATGTGCTGATTACATCAGATTTTGATCAAATCACTCTTTCAAATGAAAAATTCATATTTTTGTGGTTGCTTAAAAACAGTTGAGAAGAATTAACGACCCTTAAATATGCTGTGCGAAAAAATTGTGAAAATAATTCTTGCTCTTGATGACTAACTATATTAAATTGATCATATCACCAGCATCGGATTATTTACAATTATTTACAATACAAAAAATGACTTTTAAACAATTCTTTTCAATTTTAGGGAAGTTAGTGAGCTTTGGGTTAATAAACCTAGTAAAACATAAATTTGACTTTTTGAAATATTTGCCAATTAATTTCGGTAACAACCAGAGCTCAAATGTTAAATTTCAAGGAATAAATTAGTTGAGTGTGTTCAAAAATGTAAAATCTGCGAGTAAAAAAGCGAGCTCAGTTCCCGAGCTTGGACAGATGCCTAAATTTAATGAATCTTTGACATAGCCAAAATAAACTCACATATAAAATTTCATGAAAATCCATTGAGTCTAACTTGAGTAGAAGTGTATACACACAGATCGGCCAACCAATAGACCGATATCTCTCTCTATATGTAGTTTATTTACTCTTCCCTACTATGGAGAAGTGCGCTCTTAACGAAATATCTACATCCGAAATTTGGTGCCATCTCATAGCCTCCCTTATTGTATGTAATGCGGTCGCTAAGACTAAGCTTTTAAAAATTTTGAGTTGTTCGAAATGCCGACAATTTATTGCCAGACATCTCATAATTTTTTTATCCCCTTATCTAGTTGGATATTTCTATATTTATTGTATGATATAAGAATAATCCAACATTAAAAGATTAAAATTTTTTCGTAATCTTTCATTACCAATACAAAGAATGAAATAAAATTTAGAGTTAGAGTTGTTGAATTTTAAATAAAAATTTTTAAAATTTTCTGAAGAATCCAACCAGAAATTTAACAAAATGAGAACTTGAAAATCCGTCAAGAACAATAGTTGAACAAATTTTGTTACAATGTGCATGTATGTATTCCTTAGTCCTTCAAATTCTTCTTTATGAAATCATGAAACAAAGAGTCCCTTGGTATCAGCATAGTTTGACAGTTTCTTACAATTCTCATTTTCCAGTGGTATTAAAACTGACTTCAAACCTGCATTTTAGAATCCTACTTGACAAGGGAATTTCAAGGTATTACTTCTGATTTCATAAGAACTAACTGGCAAACTGGGTATGTTAAATATGCAGCAATAACTGCAATTCTGACACCAGACTGTTCGTCAAATATCTGTTTTAGCAGAAAAGCATACACAAGTAGCTTACGAGCTTCATACAAATAACAATTTTCTGTAACAATTTCGTTAAACTAGACAACACACACTGCGTCTGGTTACGTGCTGATCACATCAGATCAGAATGTAAGTTGTTCTGTTCCGGCTGTATTTTTAAAATAATGGTAAAACGTTCTCAAACATTTAGCACGTTTTATTTTAAAAGAGAAAAAATTTAAATTAGAAAGTTGAAAACAATTGAGGTCGAGATAAGTTTTAAGATAATCAAACTCATTTGTATTTTGCTTTTAACTGTAGGTACCGTAGTTTTAAGATAATTAAAAGGAAAGTGAAACTCATGTGTGTGCGTATGTGATACAATTTTGATGTGCTTAGCGATTATGATTGTTTTTTGCACAATATTCTAAATTTCTCTGCTGATAAGCAATTTTAAATAATTCATACTATAACTATGTATAACAAGATTTGTGTCTGTTATATAGATGTATAAGAGCTTATGTGATTCATCGCAACTTTTATCATCTTCTGTGCAAGGCAATAAAAAAAAATTAACTACATTGATTTTTGTGTATTGTGTTTAACTATGTTTTTTATCTATTTTTTAACAATAATCACCGCTAATGGAAATTGAGAATAAATCAACTTATAATTTAGAAAAAGCAAAAATATGAAATATAACAATAGAACAATAAAAATAGTAATAAAATCCTTAGTTAATATTTGCAAAGTATAAAATTTTCAATGATTCTAGATCTAAAATTTCTCTTGTATATATAAAGACTTTCATTATTGTTTTTAAATTAAATAGTTATCGCATTTCCTTGAAGCTCTTGATTAAATTTCACATCTAGTCTAGAAGAAAAAGCGTATAATTTTAATATGAAATTGTTGTTTATTTTATTCGGAGTAATTTATTTGGCACATTCATTGCCGGATACTACAAAAACAGCTCAACATTTCTGTGATATGAGTTATCTTTGTCCTCGAGGAAAAAAATCAATTGCCTGCTCATACACTTCAAATCTTGTAAATATATTTTAAATTTGTATTTTATAATTTTTAATGTTATATTACTAAAATACAATTATTATTATACTTAAGAGTATGGGCTGTAATGGTAAAATGATACCATTAGATAAAGATTGGATTTTGTCATTACATAATGATTATCGTCAGAAGATTGCTGCCGGTGAATATGCACCAGGTTATAAATCAGCAGTCGATATGCAAGAAATGCAATGGAGTGATGAATTAGAAATGATTGCTAGTTATAATGCTAGAGGTTGTTATTTTGGTCATGATGCTTGTAGATCTACAGATAATTTTAAATTGGCTGGCCAAAATATTGCTACAGCTTCTATAACAGGAGCACCAATTACAGATCCTAAAAAACATATAAAAGATTTGATTGACGGCTGGTTCAGTGAATATAAAGACACTGATATGAGAACAATTAATGCATTTTATTTATATTCTACAAGGTTTAAAATTTCTTTTAATTTAAAAATTTGATGAATTTTACATGAAAATAAAAATTTGCGTTCATAATTAAATTTAATACAATTTTAGTGCAGACATTGGTCACTTTACTCAAATGGTTAAATCTACTGCAAATCGTGTTGGTTGTTCAGCAAGTAATTATATGGAAAATGAATGGGACAATTTGTATATTGTTTGCAATTATGCTGTAACAAATGTTAATTATGAACCAACTTATATTGCTGGTCCACCTGGTGCTGGATGCAAAAAAAAAAGCAAAAAATATTCAGCTTTATGTGCTTCTTAAAGCTTTTGTTTTTTTTTCTAAAAATAAATAATTGTTAATGGACAAAAATAAAACTTTATCTTTAAAATTATTACAAAAATTACACTTAAATTCAATTTATTAGTTTTAAAAAATAATTATTGATAATAAGCTGCTTTGTCATATACAAGACTACAATAGAGTAACAATCTGGTAATACTTAAACGCAAAAAAAATTATGACTCAGATTCGGTGTTAAACCTAATGAAATAATTGAGGAGTATGTGTACATCGTCTTATCAGCTTCAATTCCCAATAATTCCTTTAAATTTTTCCTTTTGAACGAATTTTTTCTCTAGATTGCAAGCTTGAAATCATCAACATTAATGAAAAATATTAGCAGACTAATTCCAAAAGGGAATTTTCTTCTAGCTGTTTTGATATTCCTTAAATCTTTATCTAAGAACGTCCAACGTCATAAAAAATACAGCGTGGTGTCACTACTCTGATAACGTCACTTAAGTTATTGAACTTCCTCTCTATTTTGTTTTCCTAATTTAGATTGAATAACATGCTTACGTCAATTTATCTCAAATTGTTAGGTAAATGAATAATTTAGTCAATTAATAATTTGCTATTTACACACAAAACTGGGGGATATTTTTAAAAAATAAATAAACACAGCCTTTCTTAAAACACTAATTGCTTGAATAATTGAAAATAAAAATATTTCCTTTGGTTGATTGCTAAATGTTTCAGACTCAAATTATAGCTCAGATACTATTCTACACCTCAATATTTCGATTACTATAAGATTTCCATAAACAACATGATTCATTAAATGTAAGAGTATTGTGTCTTTTCAATAATAGTAGGAACAAATGCTCGAAGGTTGTACCACGTTATAAATTTACCATCCCGTTTGTAAGACTACTAGAAATTGAATAACACCACCATTTTTGTACAATTTAGTTGTGGTTACTTAAATTCTTAGAATACCCGCCAAACAAATCAATAAATAATTTGATTGTCTCGGAAATAAATGAATGGAATAATTCGGCAATAGAAGTACGACCATATAGGAATCGCAATATAATCAATTTCGACAACCAGGTTTAGTAATACTGCCATTATAAAAAATACAAGCATTAAACTTTTTTGTTGAGATAACTTTCGAATGAATTCGCTCACGTATGACAGAGTTGACACGGATGAGTCTTTTAATTTACGAAAATATGTTTTTTTTAGTATTAAATACCATTATTTAATAATATAATTGTTAGAAATAAATGAATCCGATTAAATATTTGCACAGAAATGTTTTCTATTACTGCCTACAGAAGCTTCTTAGATTTCTACATAAATAAGGTTCTAATTAGTTCTTAAAAACAGTAGTTATTTTATTTTGTAGGAGAAAGATTGATCTTATTCGAGAAAAAAAAGTCGGAATTATTTTTCAATATGAAGTTGTTTATTTTTTTTGGAATAATTTCCTTGGCTAATTCGTTATCAGATAGTACAGATTTAGCCAAAGATTTTTGTGGTATGAGCGGCCTCTGTAAACCAGGAACACAATCAGTGGCTTGCTCTTTTACATCAAATCTTGTAATAATATTTTGATTTTTTCATTAATTACATTCTTACACTTTAATTATATTTTATTTAAAGAGTATGGGATGTGATGGTGAAATGGTACCCATAGACAAAAATTTAATTTTATCAGTTCATAATGAATACCGTCAAAAAATTGCTAATGGTGAATTTGCTCCACAATATGAAGGTGCAACAAATATGGCTGAAATGAAATACAGTGAAGAATTAGAAATAATGGCTAGTTATAATGCGAGAAGTTGCGTTTTTGCTCATGATGATTGCCGTAAAACCAATAATTTTCCATATGCTGGCCAAAATATTGCCAATGTTAAAAAATTTAATTCCGATATTGATTTAAAAGCGGATATAACGAAAATGATGAATAGTTGGTTTGATGAATATACCGATTGTGATATGAGTGTTATCGTCAGTTATCATAAGATAGGGTGCGTATAAATAAATTTTTTTTTTATAATTTCGAGTATAAACTTTACTGCTAATTTTTTATTTTAGTCTAGATATTGGTCACTTCACTCAAATGGTTAAAGATAATGCAACTGAAGTAGGTTGCGCGGCAAGTAATTACATGGAGGACGATTGGGAAGTATTGTATCTTGTTTGTAATTATGCTTATACAAATATGTTAGATCAGCCGATCTATGTTGCTGGATCACCAGGTGCTGATTGCCAAAAGAAAAGTGGAAAATATCCAGCTTTATGCGCATCATAATTTGTACTCAGCACCATATTTGTTTTTTTTTTATAATTGTAAAGTTGTAAGTTTAAAATTCAATGTAACTTTATTTAAATTCTTACTTTCTATAGAAAATTCTCTGACAAATAATGAAATAGTCTTAATAAACAATGTTACTTTGATATACAGCGATTCTCTGATTTTCTTTTCCTGCCTGGCAGTCGATTACAAACAAAACTCATTTGTCTTAAACTCCCATAACCTCTAAAAAAATCAAAAAGATGAAAAATTTCGGAAAAAAATTAACGACTATTTTTAAATTGACGAGAAAGTTTATAAATATTTTGGACCACTAACTCTGTTTAACATCAATTCTCTTTAGAAGAATCCAAGATCTGCGCTTTGTTTGAAAATTCTGGAATTCTAACATTGTGAATAATAATCCAAATATTGAATATAATTAGATTCACTATAGACATTATTAACACAGCTGTTAAATAAAAATAAACTTTTTTAAACTCGTGTGAATTTCGTGAATTATTCTCTCATATACAACGCTATATGTACATATTATAATATGTATATACATATATACAAAATGAAAAAACAAAATATTTTTAATGAAAACAATATTTTTATTTAGTTAATTTTTAAGAAATTTTTAAGAAATTGAAAGACAATTGCCTGTGGGTTTTATTTTTTTAATCTGCCTACCCATTTACCAGTGTTCGTCTTAAAAGTACTTATATAGTGCTACATACCTACTTTAAAATATTGAAAAGCAAAAATTTTGCTCGCAATTAAGCAGGTTACTGTTTTATTCTGGTATTGCTTCGCCTCTACTTTCTATACATCCCTTTTCTTTTCCATGTCTGATAACTATGAAAATCTCGCCGTTTTTATAATAAATAACAAATTTCGGACAGCACCCCTAGACGAACAACGACTAGATGATTATTCTTTTATTTTTCCAAAATAATTTGGTTAATTTAAATTGGAGACAATAATTGAAGCGTCTGCATTGCATACAATAAAGGAGATAATGTGATGGTATTAAATGTCGAGTTTTCAGCTTATACTTCTTCGTGATAAGGAAATTTTGGAAACTGGATCTTTACTAATATATAAGTTTCTTTTAACAGTACAAGAAGTCACCTAACTTGTTGCGAAAATCATAAGAATGTACTTTTGCGGGCCGAATTTACATTGTTGCCCATATGCAAAGAAATAATCATCCAATTTCTTTGAATTCATGATGTTAAAAGCTTAGAATATTTTTGGGAATTCTTGAAATTTCATATTTGAGTTATTTGCTACCGAAATTAACTAACTACTTTGCAAGCAATTTGGATAGCGTGAAATTAATCCCTACTTGGAGCCCAATTTACGTTTTTCTACGTAATGTTAATCTCTACACAAACCTTAAAATTTGAATGAAGTGTTTACAGGTTATTTCCACAATTTTGTGGAAAGTTTTCGCGAAATATAAATAATACACCTTTTGGTCGGTTATTATGCTCACCGCATAAGATTTGAAAAAAAAAATATTTTTGTTAAATTTTCTTTATTTGAAATTTCTGCTAGTAAAATATCGGAAAGAAAATATTTCAAAATTTCAACTTCAAGAACAGCTACTTAATGCTTTCTACTTTAAATAGAATTATTCGAAAATTTTACGTAAAGTAGAAAATTTCTATATAAATTCTATTTGAGTATATAAGTATGTACTATAAATTATAAAAACTATACAATTCATAAACAGTATTACATATTGCCATCTAGTGGAATTGTGATGAAACAAAAATTTGCATACTTTTGGGAGTACACATAAAATAACCGCCTAGTGTAATTTTTGACGAGTTTGTCAGCTGTAAAATACTAGAAAATCACTCATTAAAATTATTTTATACAGCATAAGATCAAAATTAAGACCTACATATATACATATAATATTATATCTATAAAATCATAATGTTCCTTTACTGAATCAGACAATATTATCATACACAGAACTGTTATTAATTATATCCCAAAAAAATTAATAGAAATCTATAATTTTATCTTTAATGCAAGATTATCGCTATTTTCCTGATTTTGGCAAAAAAGTGAAAATAATTTTTGTACAACAAAATGGGTTTGACCCCAACAAACGAACACAGGTTTATTAATTTTATGCGAAATATGAGTAGCATTTTTGAAATCACCTGATCTGTAGTTCGGTGTGCACAAAATGCACTCGACAGTTCATATAATACTGTCCAAAATACGTAAGTCGTTATCAGATTATACCAATAATTTTTCAGTAGATTATAACAATATCAGCACCTTTAAATAGCTTTCAGAACACATTGCCATAGTGTAGAGTGCAGTGTAGAGCACAATTTAGTCGGTTAAGATCGACTGTGTGTTTTCACTTGTTATATATTTGATTCGACTCAATAATCAATTATCAGTATTCTACTGTTAAACTAACATTACAGTTTTTTTACAAAGTTCTCTGTTAATCTACGAAAATGTGTGTTTGTCTTAATTTTAACTGTACCATTGTTTTAATTTAAATAATATTATTTTTACTAACAAATGATTATAATTAAATATTTATACAGTTATGTTTTCTACGATTATGTAAGCGTCATATTTCTACATATATAAGGTCTCAATCAATACCTAAAACACCTAGTTATAACATTTTATAGTAGAAGGATTGATCGTGTTCGGAAAAAAAAACAGAATAATCTTTCAATATGAAGTTGTTTATCTTATTTGGAATAATTTCATTAGCTAATTCTTTATCAGATAGTACAGATTTAGCCAAAGATTTTTGTGCTATGAGTGGCCTCTGTAAACCAGGAACACAATCAATAGCTTGCTCGTTTACATCAAATCTTGTAATAATATTTTGATTCTTTCATTAATTATATTCTTACATGTTAATTATATTTTATTTAAAGAGTATGGGATGTGTTGGTAACATGGTACCTATAGACAAAAACTTAATATTATCAGTACATAATGGTTACCGTCAAAAAATTGCTAATGGTGAATATGCTCCACAATATCAAGGTGCAACAAATATGGCTGAAATGAAATACAGTGAAGAATTAGAAATAATGGCAAGCTATAATGCTAGGCGCTGTGTTTTCGCTCATGATGATTGTCGTAAAACTAATAATTTCCCATATGCCGGCCAAAATATTGCCATTGCTCAAAAATGGAATACTGATATCGATACCAAAGCAGATATAAAAGAGATGATGGATGATTGGTTTTCTGAATATAAGGATTGTGATATGAGCTTCATTGATAACTACCACAAGACGACGTGAGTATAATTGTTTTTTCAACAAATTTAAAGTTTAACAGTTCTGTCTTCTCGGTACAGTTTAGACATTGGTCATTTTACTCAAATGGTTAAAGATAAAGCAGTTCAAGTAGGTTGCGCAGCAAGTAGTTATGTAGAGAATGGTTGGAATACATTGTTACTTGTTTGTAATTATGCTTATACAAATATGTTAGATGAACCAACTTATGTTGCTGGATCTCCAGGTACTGCATGTCGCAGAAGAAGTAAAAAATATCCAGCTTTATGTGCAGCTTAATATTAGCTTGTACTCAGGTTATTTGTTAACATTAAAGAATTTTAATTTAAAATAAGTTCTTTGGTTTATGAAACCTAGTTTAATATTACATTTTATTTTAAATTAAATTTAAATAATTTATTTATACGTTTTATTAAATTTATGCTTTATTAGCAACACAATTTTCATTTCTAAGCGAATGTCTAACAATCAACTAGATTGAGAATGCTTCGTACTACAAAAATTTTCATAAAGAGACAAACTGTTGCACCTTGCATGTACAAGCAATACAAAATTACAAATCAACTATAAAATATTAAATTTAAATTTTAAATAGGAACTTCGGACAAAGAACAGATTTATTTTTTTCTCCAAAAGTGGACATTTTGAAAATAAGAAAAATAGCGAAATTTATAAATGAACTTTAAGAGATCTCTTAAGGAAGTTTTCACTTCTTGTTATAACTCACACTTCCAGAAACTAATTTATATACAATATTTATACTATATCAAAAATAAATACAAATATTCATATAAGATGTAGGACCATTTTGTAAAAAACGATCACATAAACCATCTTGAGAGGAGGTGAAGAAGGAAAGCGGGTGGAATTCATTCTTGCCTTTTCTGGGACCCTACCCGCAAAATCCTACCTAATGCATTTTGTCCTAAGTCTCTAGTCCTTCTAGAAGTACCCGTACTTCTCCATACCTCAGAAGTAGGTATATATATAATATTATTTATTATTATTTATATAATCACGAACTTTTCTTATTCATGGTTATGAAAATATTGTATTAATTCGCTTTTATAATTATAAACCATTCATACTCACCTTCATTTTATATTAAATTATATTTATCATGATCAAGAATGGAATCTTTTTTAAAAATATCGAATTCACGCATTTGAATACAAAAATTCAAATATTGAACTTCATTTATTGGAGAATCGTTAAAACAGGTGTTAAACCAAAATTGAAACTCATGTTTATTTATTGAACTGTTTATTCAATTTTAATTTTATATTATTTAATACAATTCGTGTATTTGTTCAAATATGGCGTTTTGAACGGAACACAAACCAGTCACATAAATCATTGTTTCAAATATTTAATTTAATGTTTTGGTACATAAGTACTTCTAGTAATTTAAAAAATGCTCTAAATAAATGCCATAGTTATTTGAGATGTTTAATCTTATGTAGCAGCAAAATGGCAAATGAGCTAATTAACAAGCAAAAAATTAAATTTTGATCTTAAGATTTCTTTCTCAAAAGAGCAGTTCATCAGTTAACGAACATGAATGCTCATAAAAATAGATGGGTGGACCTTATAAATTTCTTTGCTCATTTATGACCAATGAAGAAAAATCATTAATTTTACTTCGTAATTATAATATGGAATCTGAGCATCGGTGAAGGGGTTATGGCACCGGTCATTTAACCTAAGGGTCTCTATATCTGGTTCAAACCTCGGTCCGGTTATAATTATATTCAATATTATGGCTTCAATACAAGTAGTTTTCATACATTCATAATTCTATATTAAAACTTAGAAAAATAAACAGTAAATATTAATAATCTTAAACATTTAATATAAAGAAAACAACTACGATAGGCTAGTCATTTACCTAGTAAAAACTCTATGACGCAATGAAACTGGGGCATGACTATCTATGATGTCATGCAGTAGCCCTATGCTCCTCCTAGGAATAAAAACGGGAAAAAAAATTTAAATATAGAATATAAGATTGTAAAAAACCGTTTTTAGTACCCCATACTTTGAATAAGGTTAAGAGATAATATTGGAACAAATTTTCTCTTATAGGATCACATTTTAAAAATGGAAAGATTTTGATTGATATAGCCTATTTGAATTTATCAAATTACCAATTTTTAAATTTTAGATTTTATTCTTTTTATAAAATACAGTTCAGTAAAGAAACTGTTTTGAAATTGGAGATAAAATAAGTTTTCAGTTCTCATTGTTTTAACTAATTAACCATAATGTGTTTAAATATTAAATATTTATTCTAATAAACTCGGATAAACCAATGGTTTGAAAAGTAGCACATTTTTCTTGAATATTTCAACATAATTTTCTTATACACCACATTTCAGTGAAGGGTGGCTGGTCATAATTCTATAGACGGGTAAAAAGCTCTCTAAATATAATATGTTTCGCAAAGATCCACTTGTATATAAAAAATTTTCTATATAAAAATATGTAGCTTTCTGTTTTAAGGGGTGTAAAAGTTTTGTAACAAGGAGGGCAGACGAACAAAGAGGGCTGGACTGAGAAAAGTTAATAAGCACAATTTTTTTGGGAATTCGCAATAACTTTTGATTTGTATTGTATTTGGAAATATTGAATTCAAATATTTGCAAGTTTTTTACTCTTTATAGGTAAATAATGTAATCTGGTCCAAAAATTTAAGTATAAAAGGGATTCTTTTCAAAAATTAAACTTTAGTCTAATAATTTATATTTAATTCTTAACTATGAGGTGGTTCATTTTTTTCGGATTATTGTCTTTGGCAAACTCTTTGTCAGATACTGTGGATACAGCAAAAAAATTTTGCAACATGAGTAATTTGTGCTATAATGGAGCAAAATCTATAGCTTGCCTTTATACTTCGAGCACGGTATGTAATTTTAAAATTTTCATCCTTAATATACAAAACACAAAAATTTTAAATACAAATTACACTTATATATAATAGAAACCTGCATGTAATGGCACTATATTGCCATTTAATACAAAAGCTGTTGTTCAAAAACATAATGATTATAGACAAGCGATTGCCTCTGGAAAATATTCACCAAAATTTAGTACAGCAGCATCAATGCCCGAATTAGTTTATAGCGATGAATTAGCTCAAATGGCTTTGTATAATGTTAAGAAATGTGATTTTAAACATGATGCTTGTCATCAAACTAATAATTTCCCAAATGCTGGACAAAATATTGCAATGGCTTTCATGACATTAGGAGTGTTTGATGCTGCAAAAACTGATTCTTATATTTCTGAATTTATTGATAGCTGGTTTAGCGAATATAGTGAATCTAATATGAATGAAATTAAAAGTTTACCGCCAAATATGTAAGTGAAAATTTATTAATGAAAAATAACAAAATGAAATATTTACATTGATATGTCGTATGTATTAGGAGCAGCACAGGTCACTTTTTGCAAATGGTTCAGGAGAAATGCCGGCACGTAGGATGTGCTTTTATTTCTTATGTAGAAGACAACAAAGATAACGTAATATTCGCTTGTAATTATGGATATGGAAATATGCTAAATGATGCTGTTTATACTACAGGACCACCTGCAAGTCAATGTGCATCAAAAAGTAAATCCTATAGTGCTTTATGCTCGGCTTAAAACAGTTTTGATGTTTGTAAAAACAAGAAATTATTAGAAATATTATAATGTGATTTAATTATTATAGTTCTTTCTTTACTGCGGTCTTTTGACTTCTTGCCATCGAATTTCTAATTAAGCTATTTGTTAGAAAAAATTCTACTTTGGCACAGTAGCTTAAACTGATATTAACAATAGGTTTTTATACTTTCGACCATAATTTTGAAATTCGTAGGGGGTTCATTAATCAATTTATGTCAAAACATTACTTAAACTATGAAGAAACATAAAGAATATGCAATTAAATTAAACTATTAACAGCTCCTAATTTTGATTAAGATGATTATCACGTATGATAAAATTTCTTTAAATTTAACATCTTAGCATAGTTCTCATTAATTATGATAAAATTATTTAAAATATCGTAAATTTCTTTACTTTTGATAAAAGACTTTTCTGTATGACCAATTATTTTGAGATTTTTAATTGAATTTCAAATTGCATTAAGCATCAGCTCTATAAATTTCAGAAAAACCCCATCGAAATTCTAAACCTTGTTTTTTTTGTGAAAGCTTCACTTTCTTCACGAGTACTAACATAGAATTTTATTGTTGAAAAAATTGGAACTAGATAAGCAAGCTGAATCAAAAGATTAATTTATAAATGAACGAACTTGAATTTTTCTTGTTGCATGTATCATTCACAGAAGGAATCAAATGAATTTTCGGTTATATTTCCACCCATTTCTCACACTAGATTTCCTATACTTTTTCTTACATATTCCAATTTTAATTAAAAGGACTTTAAAAGCTTTTTCCTTATATTTTTATACCCTTTTTTCAGTTTATACTTTCTGTTCATTTTTACTTGCACAGTTTCCACTAGGTTTAAGTTAAGGTTGACGCGGCTATCCAAGGATACACTTAGGCAACATGGCCCCGTTGTGATGGCGCTGGTCAGTTTTCAGTAAATTTATTTCTGTTTTTCTATAAAAGATTCTTCGCTCTTTTTCCAAATGATTTTTCTACCACGTATCAAACAATTTATTGAAATTGTGAGGTGTACAAATACAAAATTATAATAATAAAAGGAGCGACTTAGGAACTAGAAGCGTGGATTGTTTTCTGTGTTTTTTTTACCGACCGTATTGTGTATACAATAGGTAGATTATGTGATGGCGACAAATTTTGCATATCGAGCTTTCGGTTGGAATGCCGGTCTGTCGATTTTTCGGTTTGTCGGTCTGTTGGTCTGTCAGTATGTCGGTCCGTGTTTGCACGCGTGTATCTCAAGTTCAGCTAAACCGATTTTGATGAAATTTTATATGTAAGTTTTTTTCAACCATGGCACGGATTGATCAACCCTTTGGCATATATCAGGCACTTTTTAGCCGGCCTGTTTTATATTTTTGACCATTTTGAAGAAAATATTCAACCGATTCTATTCAAATTTAATCTAAAGATTCTATTAAAATTTGATATTTAAATTCTTCGTACTAAATCTATCTATCTTCTAAAATTAATGGACTCCAAAGAGCTAGCTCAAACAATGCATATTCAAAAAATACTAAACAAAAATATAAAACCCAATACGCAGCTTGTCCTCAACAGCAATTTTCATAATTATAGTACCAGAACGGCAACTCACATGCGCAGTCATTCAGTGAATAATCTAAATGGACTTGAGCCAGTCATTAACTCAGCTGTCAAATCTTACAATAGGTTGCCAGCAACACTAAAAAAATCTTCAATAGGAGTATTGAAAAATGCTTTGAAAAAACAATACTTAGAAAAATATTAATTATGTCATTGTCACTTATTGTAAATATCTTTAAAATCAATTAATCTTTTGTTTTTTTTTCTAAATATTTAAATATTTGATTTTTTTTGAATTCTGTTTAGTTTTTCAAATTTTAATTTTTACTTTTTACAATTTGAATCCTTATTTTTAAGTTTTTAATTTAATTGTTAATTTTTTATTACATTAATTTTAATCTTTGTTTACTACTTATAATGTAGTTATGTTATCTTTTTTATATTCTTTTTTCGAATGTTGAATGGTTTATCCTACGATATTATTATATTATCACTTTAGGCTAATTTTTACTAATAACATTTGTAAATTTCTGAATTATATACTCTATTCGAGCTTAAAGCTCTTTTGAGAAATTATTGAAATAAAATAAAATAAAATAAAAAAATAAATAAAATAAAACAATGAACACGTAAATTTTTTGGAAAGATCAGGGCTCGAAAACTGATCTGCGGGCCGATTTTACATTTTTCACCATATCTATGGAACGAATTGATGGCACCTCTTGAAATTTGATATTTGAGTTCTGGTTGTTACAGAAATTAACTGGCGATTTTATATGGAACTACTATTATTTTTTACATTTTTCTAGGTATGTTAACTATATAAGCTTACTAATGTCCTAAAAACATTGCGGTCGGTTATGTGCTGACTACATCAGATTTTTTTGTAATGGTTTAATGATTAATTTAAAATAAAGTATTTAAATTTTCGTTTTTACTATTATTACATAAACAATAATAGGAAACTACCTCATTTAATAGTATTTTAAAGCTTAAACCGTCAAAATCGCATTTGAAATGATACTCTATAGTCAGTGAATTTAGAAGTGCTTTTAACAATTCACACCTATTCTCTAAAATAAAACATGCGTATCTTATATTAGTAAAATATTAATTGAAATTTTAGGAACTGGTATTAAATTGTCAAAATTAGACTTTATTTCTTAAATAAACAAATTAATTAAAAAAAAAATCTTGTTCTTGGAGTATATTTCCATTCATAATATACGAAAGTTTGAAAGTATAATGAATGATCCAATTCGTCATATTCATTTAAGTTCATGAGTTAACATGAACAAACTGTAATTGGTATGGATAGAAGTCATTGATGAAAATCTAAACAAACTTAAGAATTGTTCAAAAATTAGATCAAAGTTGTAAATTTCGTTAGCTAGACCGAATTTAACCGGCTTTTTTTTTCAAAATAGTTATACTTAAGCATTTTATTTTTTTTTGTGGCAGTACGGTCGCATAAAATGGGAAATATGAGCTAGTCGGTAGCTTATTTACTCATATAACCTGCTTTCAGCTAATAAAAATTTGTCACTTAACTTTTAGACATGTGATGATTTGCTCTTATGATGTGATGATTTGCTTACAAAATGACGAATCAGTAATATTTTCAAGAACAAGATACCTGTACAAGCATATATTGCGTTATTTTACAGACTATTTGAAATACTTGCTAGACTATTTGAAATTACTTTCTAGACTATTTGAAATTACTTTGAGTGCCGAAATTTATATTGCTGGTGCCCTTAACTCAGAACTACAAGCAATTCTTTTCACCTTTTCGGGAGGGAATTGGAGCAAGATTTTCCTTTAGCTTTCAATTAATATATAAAATTCATGAAAATGTAATTGGAACTATAGTAACAAATGTAAGAAGTCTGTTTAAAAACTGTTTATTCATTAATTGGACATTTGGTATTGCAAAAGGACGAAAGAAGAAGGTATGAATAAATATAAGGTAGAAGGTATAAATAGCATGATCCGCCTTAGACATTCTAAGATATATACCAATAGTAATGAAGCAATTTTCTAATATGAGATAAATAATTGAACTTGTAGTAAAGTTCTTGTAGAAATAAGCCGCGCAATTTAGACTTTTTTTCTTTTTGTATCTACTATTTAATGCTATTGTTTTCATTTTGTTTTTAGTTGTAATCATTCTATGAAGAATTTATTAGTTTTGCAAACAATTTATTAATAACGACTTACATGTCGGCAACTTGCATTGCAAAATTTTTGCTATAAAAGGTTTCAACTTTAACAAATATATTTAGTTGCGTCTTGTATATATTTAAAAATTATGTTGTTCTTAATTTTATTCGGATTTGTAGTATTTGTTCATTCATTACCAGATACAACAAGAACAGCACAATATTTTTGTAATATGAAAAATTCGTGTAGAAAAGGAACGAAATCAGTTGCTTGCTTTTATACTAGAAGCGCGGTATTAATTATAATAATAACTTTATAAAGAAAGTGAGATTTTACTTTAATTAATTTTTTAGAAAGCACTTTGTGACGGAATATCGATACCATTTGATAAATATGCTATTGTCAAAAAACATAATGATTATAGGCAAGCAATAGCATCTGGACAATATCCAAAATATAAAACAGCTTCTGCAATGTCTGAAATAATTTATAATGATGAATTAGCCCAAATGGCATTGTATAATGTTAAAGAATGTAAAATAAATCATGATGGTTGTTTTGAAACTGATAATTTTCCACATTCAGGACAAAACCTTGCAATAATTTATTTGCCATTAGGTACATTTGATGCCAGCTATGCTGATGTTTATATATCAAATTTTATTGACGATTGGTTTAGTGAATATAAAATAGCTAATATGAATATGATAAATAAACTACCATGGAGTACGTAAGTAAAATTATTACTTAAAAATAGATTTATAATAAAATTATTTAAAATATTTTTTATGTACGATATAGAGATACAACAGGACATTTTTTACAAATGGTTCAAGATAAATGCCAACATATAGGTTGTGAATTATTTTTCTATGAACAGAATAGAAAAGATAATCTTTTATTTGCTTGTAATTATGGATACGGAAATATTATAACACATCCTGTATATGCACGAGGACCACCAGCAAGTAAATGTATTTCAAGAAGCAGATACTATAGTGCTTTATGTTCGGCATAAAATTATGGAATTTATAATAAGTTTAGAATTTATTTGAAGTCCAATATCGAGTAGTCCAATATCGACTAATATTTTCAGCACGATTGTATAGCCATGTTTGTTGAATTTTGTATTAAGAATAAAGTAACGATAAAAATGATTATTTAAGAAATAATTAAATTAAAAGTTATCGTTTTTTAAAAAAAAAAAAAGCTCTCCTAAAAATATGCAAATAAAAAAATTTTAATCTCGTTTAAGTTTTTTAC